ACAGGAAAGCCTAGAGAAGACAATTATGCTGGGGAAAGTGGAAGGCAAAAGGAAGAGGGGCCGACCAAGGGCAAGATGGATGGATGGCATCCTTGAAATGACTGGACTGACCTTGAGGGAGCTGGGGGTGGTAACGGCCGACAGGGAGCTCTGGCGTGGGCTGGTCCATGAGGTCACGAAGAGTCGGAGACGACTGAACGAGTGAACAACAACAACAAGCATTGAAATCCAGCAAGACCTCGCTAAAATGAATGGCCATTAAAGGTGTCACCAGATCCCACCCTTTTCCTTTGTATTCCGAAACAGAATAACATGGAGAGCCCATCCTCCAAGGGAGCTGGTCCCCTTTGTTCCCCTCCAGCAATCTTATCCAGTCCCACTAGATGTCACCAGTAACCCACATACATTTCTAAATACTATGTTGGAATATTGCCAGGCAAATCTGGAAAAGCAGCCCATTGAGTGAACTCTTTTGTTGACTTGCATCATGGACAACACCATGCTGACTAAGAAACAAGGAAAGCCATGCGAAGTGCTAGAAAGGAAAGATTAGCTTTGCTGGGTCATGAGAAGACCCAGGTTTGTTCAGCTGCAGCTCCCAGCATAGACTCCTAGAATCATAGAGTTGGAAGAGACCTCATGGGCCATCCAGTCCAACCCCCTGCCAAGAAGCAGGAATATTGCATTCAAATCACCCCTGACAGATGGCCATCCAGCCTCTGTTTAAAAGCTTCCAAAGAAGGAGCCTCCACCACACTCCGGGGCAGAGAGTTCCACTGCTGAAAGCTCTCACAGTCAGGAAGTTCTTCCTCATGTTCATGAAATCTCCTTTCTTGTAGTTTGAAGTCATTGCTCCACGTCCTAGTCTCCAGGAAGCAGAAAACAAGCTTGCTCCCTCCTCCCTATGGACTTCCTCTCACATATTTATACATGCTATCATGTCTCCTCTCAGCCTTCTCTTCTTCAGGCTAAACATGCCCAGCTCCTTAAGCCGCTCCTCATAGGGCTTGTTCTCCAGACCCTTGATCATTTTAGTCGCCCTCCTCTGGACACATTCCAGCTTGTCAATATCTCTCTTCAATTGTAGTGCCCAGAATTGGACACAATATTCCAGGTGTGGTCTAACCAAGGCAGAATAGAGGGGTAGCATTACTTTCCTAGAGCTAGACACTATGCTCCTTGCTGGGACTGTCAGTTCTCCACATTTATCAAATCTGCATGTTATATTTCATCATGACAACTACCAGCCTCCTCCCAGTAGAGTGAACTCCAGGAAAAGCTTCATGAGAACCACCACTCTGGGCAGCTAAACCAGGAAATCTCAACTGGATGCCCCCCCCCCCCCCATGAGAGAGGGTCTTCCTCCAGGCCCATCCATATTTTTTCCACGCTGTTTCTACCTCTGGTATCAATCTTTCAAGATAGAAACCAAGAATGGGCAACTTGGAAGTCCCTGAACAGACTCAGAAGCAGAGTGGGCAGATCAAAAGACAACCTGGCAAAATGGCACGACCTAAAAGAACCCCACACCTTGTGTGTCTGTGGAGCAGAACAGACAACTCCGCATCTGTATGCTTGTCCGCAATGTCCTGCCTCATATACAGACGAAGAATTGTTGAAAGTTACAGACAATGCGGTTGCTGTTGCCCGGTTTTGTTCAAAAAATATTTAGCCACTTGTGCTCCCTCTATTTTTATCAGTTTTATACTAATTTATGCAATGCTTTTGATACGAAATACATAAAAAGTAGCTTTATGTGCAATATTTTTAATAATTTTATGTACAAAACAAATGTTGTGTACATGGAACCATCATGAGGCATCACTGTCTCAGCCCTCCATGTGGACAATTTCAGATTATAGAGAACCTCTGGTTTTGGAATTCCGGATAAGAGAAGCTCAAACTGCATTGAAGCCCACCCATATTTTTTTCCACACTGTTTCTACCTCCGGTATCAATTTTTCAAGATAGAAATGCATCTGTTTTGTTAACTGAGGTACACCTGGACTTAAACATTTGGCAAAATGGCATTACCTAAAAGAATCGCACACCTTATGTGACTGCGGAGCAGAACAGAAAACTCCGCATCTGTATGCTTGTCCATTGTGCCCTGCCTCATGTACAGAGGAAGAGTTGTTGGAGGCTACAGACAATGCCATTGCTGTTGCCCGTTTTTGGTCAAAGGATATTTAGCCACCTGCGTTCCTTCTATTTTTATCAGTTTTATACTAATTTATTCAATGCTGTATTGTCGAAGGCTTTCATGACCGGAATCACTGGGTTGTTGTAGGTTTTTCCGAGCTATATGGCCATGTTCTAGAGGCATTTTCTCCTGACGTTTCGCCTGCATCTATGGCAAGCATCCTCCAGCATCCTGGTTTTTTTGGAAGTTGGGTCTTGTTTAAGCTTTCTGTAGATAGTAGGATCCAGGAGTTTTCTGATCTTCTCCTTGTATTGTTCTGTATCCATGATTACTGTGGCATTCCCCTTGTCTGCTGGGAGAATGATGATGTCAGGATCTGAGTTGAGGTCTCTGATGGCTTGTCTTTCCTTCCTTATAATGTTACTGGAGGGAACAAAAGATTCTCCCAGGCACTGCCAAGCCATCAAATGCTAATTAAGGTGGTCAGTTGAAACATTCACACCTAGCTCCAGCAGACAAGAGTCCTTTGTCCCACCCTGGTCATTCCACAGATATATAAACCCATTTTCCTAGTTCCAACAGACCTCACTACCTCTGAGGATGCTTGCCGTAGATGCAGGCGGAACGTCAGGAGAAAATGCCTCTAGAACATGGCCATATAGCCTGGAAAAACCTACAACAACCCAGTTATTCAGTGCTATTAATACGAAATAAATAAACATATGTTAAGCATGCACATTTACTATTTCTGAAGAATAATGACATTGCTCCCTTTCCAAGTTAAGGTGGGACTGGAACTGTGGCATAAAAGAGGAAATATCTCACCAATTCCGGACCATTATGCCTTCGGCTTCCATGCTTTGTGCAAGCGACTCTTCCTCTGGTTGCGTCTCCTGTGTGTTTTGCAGGTTGTTTATTTAGAGGGCAGGATTTTTAGGGGCATGTCATCCGGGATGCCAGAGTGAGATCAGACAGCAGGCCGGTGTCACAAATCCAAACACAGTGGACTCGATTATTACGGAGCTGCAGATGCAACAGGGCAAGGGGTCAGGCTTGACTCAAGCCTACAAGAATGCGGTGTGTGTATATACAAAACAGTGTCCTATACAATTGATTAGATGATGAGGCGAACCTTTCGTGTCCATAAGAATGGGAGAGTCAGGAGCAATCCAAGATAATGGTTTCTATTATAGTTAAGAAGGTTTCATTGTTATGTTGGAAGCACATTCCATACCTTCCAACTTTGGCAGGGAAAGTCCCAGTGAATCTTCTGTCCTGTTGCCAGGTGCTGTTAAAATATCCTGGTTTTAATCCGACCTTTTAAAGGGACTCTTCAGCTTGCTATTTTGAGAAGATAAGGTTCAGCATCTTGGGAAAAACTTTCTAAAATTCAGACTGAAACACCAAACTGAATCAAGCCATTGAAAGATCAACCCAGTGCAAGGGAAAAATCTAATTCTGGTCAAGGAATGTCAGTGAGTGGCCTCTTTGTTGCTCAAGTGCCAGAGATGCCTGGGAGACACTTGACCTGGACCTCTTCTCTCTTAAGGTCATTTGCTCAGAGAAATTTAGACTGAATCCTAGGAATGCCTTTGAAATCGCATCCAGGCTGCTCCTTTTTCACCAAGGAACAGCCACACTGCAAACTTTTAATCTTTATACTGCAGTATGTATTTTAATATATAGATTTTATGAGATTGTGTTTTATCTGGGTGTAATAATAATAATAATAATAATAATAATAATAATAATTTGTTGTTGTTCATTTGTTCAGTCCTTTCCGACTCTTCGTGACCTCATGGACCAGCCCACGCCAGAGCTACCTGTCGGCCGTGGCCACCCCCAGCTCCTTCAAGGTCAATCCAATCACTTCAAGGATGCCATCCATCCATCTTGCCTTTGGTCAGCCCCTCTTCCTTTTTCCTTCCATTTTCCACAGCATCATTGTCTTCTCTGACTGTGAGAGCCATTCAGCAGTGGAACTCTCTGCCCCGGAGTGTGGTGGAGGCTCCTTCTTTGGAAGCTTTTAAACAGAGGCTGGATGGCCATCTGCCAGGGGTGATTTGAATGCAATATTCTTGCTTCTTGGCAGGGGGTTGGACTGGATGGCCCATGAGGTCTCTTCCAACTCTTTGATTCTATGATTCTATGATTCTTTCCTTTTCATGATGTGGCCAAAGTACTTCAACTTTGTCTCTAGTATCCTTCCCTCCAATGAGCAGTCGGGCTTTATTTCCTGGAGGATGGACTGGTTGGATCTTCTCGCAGTCCAAGGCACTCTCAGAACTTTCCTCCAACACCACAGTTCAAAAGCATCTCTCTTCCTTCACTCAGCCTTCCCTATGGTCCAGCTCTCACATCTGTAGGTTACTACAGGGAATACCATGGCTTTAACTATGAGGATCTTTGTTCCAGTGTGATGTCTCTACTCTTTACTATTTTATCGAGATTGGACATTGCTCTCCTCCCAAGAAGGAAGCGTCTTCTGATTTCTTGGCCACAGTCTGCATCTGCAGTAATCTTTGCACCTAGAAATACAAAGTCTATCACGGCCTCCACGTTTTCTCCCTCTATTTCCCAGTTGTCAATCATTCTTGTTGCCATAATCTTGGTTTTTTTGATGTTTAGCTGCAACCCAGCTTTTGCGCTTTCTTCTTTCACCTTGATTAGAAGGCTCCTCAGCTCCTCCTCGCTTTCGGCCATCAGAGTGGTGTCATCTGCATATCTAGGGTTATCTAATGTTTCTTCCAGCAATTTTCACCCCAGCCTTGAATTCCTCAAGCCCCGCACATCGCATGATATGTTCTGCATACAAGTTCAATAGGTTGCGGGAGAGGATACAACCCTGCCGTTCGCCTTTCCCAATCTTGAACCAGTCTGTTGTTCCGTGGTCAGTTCTTACTGTTGGTACTTGGTCCTTATACAGATTCCTCAGGAGAGAGACAAGGTGATTTGGTATAATAATAATAATAATAATATATTAATCATCACTTTTATTTATACCCAGCCACCATCTCCCCAAAGGGGTCTCGGGGCGGCTCACATGAGGCCAAGCCAAACACTACAACAAAATAAAATGTGGATACAGCAAAATAAAATACAAAGAAACAAAAATACCATCAAAATAAATACATAACATAACAAAATAAAATAAAATAAACAGTTCCAAAATGACATGAAAGGCTGAGAGGAGATATGATAGCCATGTATAAATATGTGAGAGGCAGCCACAGGGAGGAGGGAGCAAGCTTGTTTTCTGCTTCCTGGAGACTAGGACGCGGAACAATGGCTTCAAACTACAAGAGAGGAGATTCCATCTGAACATGAGGAAGAACTTCCTGACTGTGAGAGCCGTTCAGCAGTGGAACTCTCTGCCCCGGAGTGTGGTGGAGGCTCCTTCTTTGGAAGCTTTTAAACAGAGGCTGGATGGCCATCTGTCAGGGGTGCTTTGAATGCAATATTCCTGCTTCTTGGCAGGGGGTTGGACTGGATGGCCCATGAGTCTCTTCCAACTCTATGATTCTATGAAAGAAATGGAACACAGTGGGCAGGCCAAATGTATTAGAAATAAAAATGATAAAAAAAAACCCTGGATGAGATAGGTAGAATATGTTTCTGGGGGAGAAAGTGTTTCTGTGGGGGGAACTCAAAAGGGCCAAACAGTGAGGCAGGGGAAAAGTGCATCATGAGGATAGAGCTGTAGTTGGGACAGACTAAAAGTGGAATATATTTTCATTCTCCAACTCTGTTGTATCTCTCCTTGAGGCATGAGAACAGGCGGGCAACAAATAAACTATTATTATCACTACTATTAAATCTCAGTTTACTACTACTATTAAATCTCAGCGCAATGGAACAATGGCTTCAATTTACATTTCCTGAATCTCAGAATCTCAGAATTTCCTGACTCTGAGAGCTGTTCAGCAGTGGAACGCTCTGCCCTGGAGTGTGGTGGAGGCTCCTTCTCAGGAGGCTTTTAAACAGGCTGGATGGCCATCAGTCGGGGGTGCTTTGAAAGCAATATTCCTGCTTCTTGGCAGGGGGTTGGACTGGATGGCCCATGAGGTCTCTTCCAACTCTATGATTCTATGATTCCACCCCACATCAAAAGGTCTCAGAATGAAATCAATTTAAGACAGTTTAAGTAGCAATATCAATACTTGTAATAGATTAAAAATACATTAAATCAATCATCTCTTTAAAGGAAATGATGTAAAAAAATGCAAAAACACTCTAAATTAATGTCTTTCCTTCTACCCTTATCTTTGCTTGTAGAAAAATGCCTGTGTGTTGCCTGAGGATTTAAAAAGTTTCTACTTAATGACCGATGGCTTCCATATGACCTGGAGTGTCAAGTTTGATGGTGAGCTTAATCAACTTTAAGTTGTGGTTGTCATATACAGTGTGACCCTGTATCCTCAGAAGACACATTCCCAAACCTTGCATAGATACACAAACTCATGGCGAAGACTGAATCCATCCCAGGAATATCATGAAATTGAACTGGAAAAACCCAGAGAAAGCCTAGAGAGAATTAATAAAGAGAAGATTTCTAAAACTCATTCTGGGATTGTCGATGTTAGGTGGCGTGAGAGATTATTACTGGAAGGAAAGGCCTGTTTAAGCCTAGCTGCCCCTCCTAGAATGGGGAATTTGAAACTACCACATTGGGGATATTTAAAAAACCAGTTTTGAATCCTCAACAGGGTTTGTTTTGACGGTCTCTTCCAGATAACCCCATGCCCCTGGGCTGTATGACCATCAACAGCATCTCCAAGCTGACCCGTCTTGGAGCGTCCCCAGTTTACACCTTGCCCAACGCGCCCACTCTTGCTGACCTGGAGGATACAGATGACGAAGGCGGTAAGGGATTCTCATGGCTGTAACAGGTCTTGGCTTGTGTCTTTTCCACAAAACCCCACCATACAAAGACTCTGACCTTGCTGTTGTTTTACAACCCTCCTCTGCCCGGGGGTTTCTTTTGAAGGTTTCTTTTGCTGGCCTTTCCTTTCCTAGGGGACAAGGACCAGCCAGAGAAGCCTCACTTGGACTCTCGCAGCCTGATATTCGAATTAGACCCATGTGGAGGAAATGGCAAGGTTTGCCTTGTGTACAAGAACACCAAGCCAGGTAGGTGGCTAGATGTCAGCAACCTAGGAGATGAGTGTTTTGCATGTGCTATGTGTGTTTATTTATTTATTTATTTCTCGTGTCAAGGCAGCCAGTCAATTATATTACATTTCTAACAGAACAAAGCAAACAAACAGAGAAAATACAAAATGTGTGAGTTTTGTAGTTGATTAAATGTCCTTTGACCAGTATCTGGCCACTTGGAGTGCTTCTGGTGTTGCTCCAAGAAGGTCGTCCCTTGTGCATGTGGCAGGGCTCAGGTTGCATTGCAGCAGGTGGTCAGTGGTTTGCTCCTCTCCGCACTCGCATGTCGAGGATTCCACTTTGTAGCCCCATTTCTTAAGGTTGGCTCTGCATCTTGTGGTGCCAGAGCGCAGTCTGTTCAGGGTCTTCCAAGTCGTCCAGTTTTCTGTGTGCCCAGGGGGGAGTCTCTCATTTGGATCACCAAACAACCTCGATGGAATCACTCTCCTGGTGAACCTCGCTTGCTGAGGTGTTCCAGCGAGTGTCTCTGTAGATCTTAGAAAACTATTTCTTGATTTAAGTCGTTGACGTGCTGGCTGATACCCAAACAGGGGATGAGCTGGAGATGTCTCTGCCTTGGTCCTTTCACTATTGGCTGCCACTTCCCGGCGGATATCAGGTGGTGCAATACCGGCTAAGCAGTGTAATTTCTCCAGTGGTGTAGGGCGCAGACACCCTGTGATAATGCGGCATGTCTCATTAAGAGCCACATCCACTGTTTTAGTGTGGTGAGATGTATTCCACACTGGGCATGCATACTCAGCAGCAGAGTAGCATAGCGCAAGGGCAGATGTCTTCACTGTGTCTGGTTGTGATCCCCAGGTTGTGCCAGTCAGCTTTCGTATGATATTGTTTCTAGCACCCACTTTTGCTTGATATTCAGGCAGTGCTTCTTGTAGGTCAGAGCACGGACCAGAGTGATTCCCAGGTATTTAGGTGCGCTGCAATGCTCCAGTGGGATTCCTTCCCAGGTAATCATCCTCAGAGCTCGGGATGCTTGTCTGTTCTTAAGGTGAAATGCAGTTCTGCCTTGTTCTTGGCTTTTGTGATTATCATCATTGCCTTCTTTTCCTCCATCTCAATTCCAGTTGTCAGCCCCGAATCTGAGATCTGGTTCCTGGACCGGGCCCTTTATTGGCATTTCCTGACCAAGAGCTTCACGTCCTACTACCGGCTCCTGATCACCCACCTTGGTCTCCCGCAGTGGCAATATGCCTTCACCAGCTACGGCATCAGCCCCCAGGCAAAGGTCAGAAACTGAGTCACCACTTCCCGTCTTACTAAGGGCTTAAAGGCTAAGTGTAGCTCCTTGAGAGGAAAAGATAAAAGGTTCCAAATTCAGATCCCAGTTCTTCTGCAAGGTCACTAGATGATTCTGATCAAGCTACGTCAGGCATGGCCCAACTTCAGCCCTCCTTCCAGGTATTTTGGACTTTCAACACCCACAATTCCTAACAGCCTAAGTCCAAAACACATCTGGAGGGGGACGTTGGTCCATGCCTGAGCTACAGACTCTGTTGTCTCATCTGCAATATAGTCCAGGTTGAGTATCCTTTATCTGAAATGCTTGGGACCAGAAGTTTTGAGCAGGAATCAATAATAATAATAATAATAATAATAATAATAATAATAATAATTTATTTATATTCTGCTCTGTCTCCCCAAAAGGACTCAAGGTGGATTCCAAACATAAAAGGCAAGCATTTCCTGTAATTTGAACCCATGGCTCCATTGAGTCCTAGTTTCCAGGGCAGCAGAAAACAATAAAAAAGACAAATGAGATTTCCACTAAACGTTAGGAAGAATTTCCTAATACTAAGAGTTATTCACCAAGTGGATAGAACCCCCAGTGGTGCAATGGGTTAAACCCTTGTGCCGGCAGGACTGAAGACCAACAGGTCACAGGTTTGAATCAGTGGGTGAGCTCCCTCTGTCAGCTCCAGCTTCCCATGTGGGCACATGAGAGAAACCTCCCACAAGGATGGTAAAACATCAAAACATCCGGGCATTCCCTGGGCAATGACCTTGCAGAAGGCCAATTCTCTCAAACCAGAAGTGACTTTCAGTTTCTCAAGTCGCTCCTGACATGAAAAAAAGCAAGTGGATAGTCTGCTTCAGAGAATAGTGATTTTTTTCTTCATAGGAAGTTTTCAAAGTTTGGATGACTGTCTGTCATAAGCTTCGGATTTCTGTGGGAAGGGAGTAAACCTTTCTCCCAAGGCCTGATAGAAACATTCTCATGAGAATCTGCCCTTTGCACCGAAGCCTCTCTGTCAGTGTCTGCATGAAACTTATTGACCAAAGTATCTCCATCTTGCACCTCAGAGTCAGTCCCAGCATCCCCCATATCAGAAGCAGCAGGGGACTGATTTCCCTCCTCATTACCCACATCAGACACAGAAACATCAGGAGAACTGAAACACAGGCTCAGGTTCAATCACAGGCTGAGTCCCAACAGCCTGCTTCTCCTTTCTAATCCTTGTTTCCCTTTCTTCGCCCAGCAATGGTTCAACATGTACAAGCCCATCACCGTCAACACGGAGCAGCTCTCGGAGGAGGCGGATCTGTTTGTGAACAAGCTGGACCCCAACAAGGTGTTCAGGACCAAAAACAAGACTCCGGTCCTGAAGAAGAAGCTGCCTTCCCAGCCTCCCCCCTCCCAGAAAGGCCAGGCAGGGGCCTCTCCCAAGAATCCCACCCAAGCCGGAGGCCCTTCCAGGAGATGAGGAGCCAGGCCTTCGCTTCTCTTTGGTGGATCCGTGGCAGCATTTCCGGCTTCGATCCACACGTCACAGGCAGAAAAGCCTCCTCATACCTGGCTACTCTCGCTGTGCATGGGAGAGGACCACTATATTTATTTTTAAATATTTATTTATGAAGTTTGCAGACCATGCTTGAATTCACTTTCATGCCAAAGTATCCAGTGGTTGAACTCCTCTTTCTCTGGAGTGATTTTTTGTCCAAGGGGGAGAAAGGAACGGTGATTCAGCAGGGCTGTGCTCTTCCTCGACACCCCTCCACCAGAAGTAAAATTAAACACCTATGGTAAACATAGCAAATGTTTGGTATCCATCTTTTCAAGAGAGGGGAATGGATGGAAAACATGTCCCTTCCTAACATGAGACAAGAGGTGTAAATTTTGTGCCCTGGGATTGTATGTGGCCTTTGTGAGGGACTGAGGTCCTTGATCTCCATTAAGCTCACAAAGATTCCCCCAAGACCCCCCTCCTGTTTATTTTTTATTTATTTATTTATTTATTTATTTCAGATATTTTTACCCCGCTGTTCTGAACCCCCCGAGGGGGACTCAGGGCGGCTTATAGCCGGCAACAATTCAATGCCCCCCTCCCATACAAACAAATAAAACAGTTACATAGTAAGTAAAACATTAAATTAAATTAAATTAAATTAAAATCCATTTAAAATAGTACTAAGTTGGTTGGCTATATCTAAATCCGAGTTATACGATCAATGACTTAGTCTGAAGCCTGTCCATAGTCCATTTTCCATAGCATTGTCATCATTTTTATTATCAGCCTGTTGCCCGAATGCCTGGTCCCACAACCACGTTTTCAACTTTTTCCTAAAGGAAAGGAGGGAAGTGGTTGACCTAATTTCGCTGGGGTATGAGTTCCACAGGCGGGGAGCCACCACCGAGAAGGCCCTGTCTCTCGTCCCCCGACGGTGGCGGGATCGAGAGCAGGGCCTACCCAGAAGATCTAAAGCTCCGAGGTGGGACGTAGAGGGAGATACGTTCGGACAAGTAAGCTGGGCCAGAACTGTATAGGGCTTTATAGGTCAAGACCAGCACTTTGAATTGTACTCGGAACTCTCCTAGAATAAAACCCAGAATATCAAGGGAAAAAATCTGACAATATCTACTCTGAACTGGGTTACATGAGTCCACACTGCCATATATTCCAATTCATAGAATCAAAGAGTTGGAAGAGACCTCATGGGCCATCCAGTCCAACCCCATTCTGCCAAGAAGCAGGAAAATTGTATTCAAATCACCCCTGACAGATGGCCATCCAGCCTCTATTTAAAAGCTTCCAAAGAAGGAGCCCCCACCACACTCCGGGGCAGAGAGTTCCACTGCTGAACGGCTCTCACAGTCAGGAAGTTCTTCCTCATGTTCAGATGGAATCTCCTTTCTTGTAGTTTGAAGCCATTGTTCCATTGCATCCTAGTCTCCAGGGGAGCAGAAAACAAGCTTGCTCCCTCCTCCCTGTGACTTCCTCTCACATATTTTGACCTTCCATTTCTCTCGTTATTAAAGTCTATCATTGAGTTGCATTGGATGGCCTAGATATTCCTAAAGACACAAATAATCAAACCTGCAAACCAAGAAAAATCCACCTTGAGTCTTCGTATTGGGAGAAAAACAGGGCAAGAAGTTCAATAAATAAATAAACGAAGAGGATCGGTTGTACTCCTTTTGCGTGAGAGTATGAAATTAATGGAGATTTATATCTGTGGCCAATGCAAACCAAAATACTGGGTGTAGATTTGCAGCCATAACACTTCAGATAATATTTGGGTCTTTTTTCTGCATTGAAGATCAGCTTATTTGACTTATTAGGTGCCTGTCATGATAGGCTCCAGTTTGCATTTGAGTCCATTACATCTTCTCCTAGGCATGTAGTTGAGATGTGAAGACCCTCTCCCCTCCATTTGAGTGTCTCCTCGTCTCTCTTCAGTCCATAAACTTGTCCTTAGAAAAGCCGTGGGCTTAGATGGAGATATCTCATAATGCCTGTATCTCAATGGGAAGATGTTTTTCTGGGCTTCTCAGCTCTTTAGTCTCCTCCTTATCTCCTGAATGAAAACAGAGCCAGGTTCCAAAGGTGAGGCTGAATGTTGGCACGATAGAGGCTAATAAATCATATCTAAGCAAGGCTGGCTTTGGTATACAATTTTGCCACTGCCTTATATGGAGCTTCCTTGAAGCAAATGTGTTGGATTCCATCTCCCATTGGCCATACTACTGGGGATTATGGGAGTCTGAAGGGTGTCATGATGGGAAAGGCTGGTGTAGTCCATCCAAGCCAATACTGGCTGGCCCAAATCTGAGGGCACATCTACACAGTAGAACTGATGGATTTTGACACCATGACTCAATGCTTTGATATACTGGGAGTTATCATTTAGTGAGACACCAGCATTTTTTGGCAGAGAAGGCCAAGGAACTTGGAAAACTGCAACTCTCAGGACTCCATAACAATGAGCCATTGTAGTTCAAGTGGTGTCAAACTGCCTTAATTCTACAGTGTAGATGCATCTTGGGAGAGATCACTCCACAAATACAGAATTTGCAACTTTTGATACACAATGCAAGTGTCTAATGACTCCATGGTCTTCCTGTTTGAGAATGCTAAACTGCAGGAAAGTGTATTCTTTTATTTACTTACTAGCTTGGAGACCCGGCAGTGCCCAAGTTATTTGTTAGTAAGTGCTCCAAGTTTAGTCTAGATCCAATGTCAGCTAGGTTCAGTGGGTGTGGGAGAACTACAACTCCCATATGCAAATCCCATCGTCCATGGTCCATCTTTCTCCAAACCACACCTGGATGTAGAGTGGCTTGTGGGGGCTCTGTGCCAAGTTTGGTCTTGAGCAGTCATTGGTGTGGGTTGCAGTGGTCTCAGGAAGTGAGTGAAGGTACCGCAAATCCCATTGCCAATAGTCTGTCATCCCACAAACCGAACTAGGATGTAGAGTGGGTCATGGGGGCTCTGTGTGCAAAGTTTGATCTAGATCAGTCATTGGTGTGGCTCACAGTGGTTTCAAGAAGTGAGAAGGTACTGCAAGTCCCATCACCAATAGCCCGTCGTCCCACAAATCGAACTAGGATGTGGAGTGGGTCATGGGGGCTCTGTTTGCAAAGTTTGATCTAGATCAGTCATTGGTGTGGCTCAGTGGTGTCAAGAAGTGAGTGAAGATACTGCAAGTCCCATCATCCATAGTCCAAACACTTTGAAACCGCACCAGGACGTAGAGTGGGGCATAGGGGCTTTGTGTGCCAGGTTTGGTCTTGCTCAGTTATTGGTGTGGGTCGCAGTAGTCTCTGGAAGTGAGTGAAGGTACTGCAAATCCCATTCTCCATGGTTTATCCTCCCCCAAACAACATCAGGACGTAAAGTGGGTCATTAGATATAGTCTATCCCACACAACATCTTACACACAGATCAGTTCAACCAGTTTTCATTCAGATGGCAGTTTTACAAGGCTGTTGTCCCTCTCTGCCCAAGAGTGCTGGGATCCCACCAAACTACAATTCCCAAGATTTCAGAGCATTGAGATTCCATGGCACTTAAACAGGTATCAAAATGCATTCATTCTACACGGCAGATGCCTCCTTTAACCAAGAGGAAGCTCTCTTTCTCACCTATATGTTACAAAAGAGTAGGAACCCCAGGTGGCGCAATGGTTTAAACCCTTGTGCCAGCAGGACTGCTGACTGATAGGTCAGCGATTAAAATTCAGGGAGAGCGGGTTGAGCTCCCTCTGTCAGCTCCAGCTCCCCATGCAGGGACATGAGGGAAGCCTCCCACAAGGATGGTAAAATATCAAACATCCAAGCAAACCCTGGGCAATGTCCTTGCAGACGACCAATTCTCTTACACTAGAAGCAACTTGCAGTTTCTCAAGTTGCTCCTGACACACAAACACACAAAATACAGGAGTAGTCCTGGGTTTGGCTATATGACTCTCATTACAAGGGAATAGAAAGTCCACCTTGGTTTATCTGGCTGTTTGGGCCAGGCAAACTTAAGCTCTTTCTTTGCAGTGACATCACATCCTCCTTGATGATGCCATAAATAGTGATGTGACTTCACATCCCTTGTTTCCAAGAAGGTAAAGGGCTGGTGGGAAGGAGTCCACGGTTGCAAAGGAGTTTCCCTCTAAGTGTGGAAATCCCAAAGATCAAGGATTCGATGCAAGGTTCAGCATTTGAAGTTCAGGTAAAACAGCTCATGGTTGTCTAAACTGTACTTTGATTTGTCTTGGCCAAATTATTCTTTAGCCACCTTGGGGTCTTTTTTGGAGGGAGGTGAAGGTGTTCGGAAATGTTGGCCATTCCTGCTATCTTGGCAATGACCTCTCCACAGAAGTCAACATTGACAGTGAAATACAACACCATCTGAGCTACTACTGGAATATAATCTCCATCCACTACTCCTGTGTCATCCCTATCACTCCAGTAGCAGGAATCCAATATGACTTTGTTCCCATTGTTCCTCAAAGAAATTTTTAATTATTTTTAACCATTTTAATTATTATACTTGGTCCTGCCATAGGTTCTTTTAATGCGTAGTGGTGTTATTGTTGATGTTTACTGCTTGTTTATGAGTTTATTTATTGTTGTATTGTTGTTGTTGTTGTTTTACTGATGTATTTGGGCTCGGCCTCTTGTAAGCCGTACCGAGTCCTTCGGGAGATGGTAGCAGGGTACAAATAAAGGTTTATTATTATTATTATTATTATTATTATTATTATTATTATTAAGAAATATTCAGTTTCAGGTTGAGCATCCCTTATCTAGAAACCCTCCCAATTCCAAATTTGTCCACATGGATATCTGAGATAATGACCTATTTCGTGTGGTTCATGCACATTTTTTTTCATGCAAAATTGATTAAATATCTATAATAAATACTTCTGGAAACAAGTACAATCCTGGCTATGGGATCAGGCCTTTGTAGATTCGGCTGACTTGCTGACGTGTTGACTTATGTAGAAATGAACGACTGCCCCTTGGATGATGATTTAAACCGGTGACCGCTGACTGATTGATTGATTGATTGTTTTTCTACTGTTTTATATTGTTTTATACTGTTTATACTGTTTTATATTGTTATTATATTGCCATTAAATTGTGTATCTAT